GAGCGGGCCTGCTGCTAGGATGCCAGCGAGTCTGCTGCGTGCCATGGCCCGGGCCGAGCACCTGGCGCGGGCGCATGCGGCCTGGCCCTGCAAGTAAGAAAACGCGGCTGCAAGCTGCGGCCGTCGCGCGGCCCGGCCGGCCCACCACCGCGCTGCGCTCATGAGGGCAGCTCACACGTCTGCCCGGCTCACTCAGTTAGCAGCAGCGTGGGCCCCGCGCAGATGCCCGCAACAAGAGCGCGCCAGCTCGCCGACCTGCACAGCGGCAGCGTCGCCTTGCGTCACCACTACCGTATGCACTTGTGCCTGCCGCTTAGCTTGCACTAAAGAACGATCGCCCCTTTCGAGCAACCCGCCGTCAACCCAGCTGCCGCGCCCACTGTCCGGCCACGCCCAAGCACCTGCCGCACCCCTCGGCTATGCTGGAGGGCACGCTCACTTTTCCTTTCCGAAGGCGCGGGATATGCCCTCCTCCACGCCGATATAGGTCGCAGCCAGCGCCCCCAGAAAGGCCGTGTACCGCAGCGTGTCTTTGATGGCAGCGCCGCCGCTGACCGCGCGCTTCTGCCGCTTGCCGCTGCTTGAGCCGCCGAGCGCTCCGAGCACGTGGCCTGCCAGGTGCAGGCCGCCGCGCAGGGTGAAGCCGATGAGGGCGCCGCGCAAGGCGCCGCTCTGTGTGCGCATCAGTGCGCGTCGCAGGTCGTCGGGTGTGGGGTTGCCCCGTCCGGAAGAGGAGGGCTCATCGGAATCCGCCTGGACCAGCGGACGCTGATTAAGTGGCATTATGGCCTCCCTTTCGCTAATGAATGCACCAAAGTCCCGCGGGGCGGTTCGGGACGGGTGCTGTCGCTGCAACGCACGCAGAGGGTACTGTAAGACGGTGAGACAGACAAGCAAGACAATCAAAAGCCAACGACACGATATACTGATTTTACGGAGGCGAGCCCTTTGGAAGTACTAAGGCGAGCAATACGCACCAGAACATAGCGTGTATCAGCTCTTGCCGCTTCAGCAATCTAATACTTGAATGCTCAAAACACATTACTTCAAACGCTGACTCACCCTAGATCTGGCAAGATCACTACGCTTGGCGCCAAGAGCACGTTCAAAACACGGGCCTCTCATAGCTTGCACATACAAATTCAGGGTGTAGGAGGCCGGTAGCATGGCGCTGTGGGCTGACAAGGTGCGGCAGTGCCCCGCTGCTGCCGGGACACCACCGCTTGCACACCCATTGCCGGGGCGTTTGGATGGCAGCGGCAAGCGGCATGGACTTGTGCTGCCGTCTGCAACTCTATAGATGGGTCGTAACAGCGTGCGTTTGCTCGCTCAGGCAGCTGAAGCAGGGACCCTGCCCGTGAATGAGCTGTTGCCGCTCATCAACCCCCTGCTGTTTGTAATTCCTGTATGCGTGCAGTACCAGCCCAAGGCGCTGGACAAATTTGTCCTGAACAAGGGCATATCAGACAACCTGAAGAAGCTGGTGAGCAGCACGATAGACGCGCAGCATAGACGGCTCCGGCTGTGTTCGGCAGGTGTCGGGAGGGTTCAGCACTGGTTCCCAAGAGCAACACCATGCCTGCCATCCTGGGTGTTCATCGCCCCCAGGTGGCGACGGGGGACTGCCCACATACATTGTTCTATGGCCCACCTGGTGCCGGCAAGCGCACACTGGTGATGGCGCTGCTGCGGGAGATCTACGGTCCGGGGGCGGAGAAGGTGCGCCCCTGGCCGGGCTGGCGGCTTCCAAAGCGCAAGCACAGCCACTCTGCTGCAGCATGCCCTCGGGTCTTCGCAATAATATACTGGAGTCTTGCAGCTGGTTGGTTTGGTTCATGCGGTGCTTGATGGTTGGGCGGGCACTGAAGTTACGTATGAATCACGTTGGCCTTGGCCCAGATCCGCGTGGAAACCAAGCCCTGGGTGCTGGAGCTGCCCAGCCGCAAGCTGGAGCTGGAGCTCACCACGGTCAGCAGCAACTACCACGTGGAGCTGTCACCGGGTGACGTGGGGGGCACCAACGACCGCTACGTGGTGCAGGAGGTCATAAAGGACCTCGCCAAGAACCGGCCCCTGGATGTGGCCACGGGTGAGGCCCGGGGTGTGGCGGGGGTGCGTCCATTGAAGAGCGTGGCGACGGGCTGCGGAAGGGGGGCGAGGGAAGCGGCGCATGGTGGGCGGGGGCTTTTGCGGTGACGTTGTGGGCGAAGGTTCTCGACACGTGCTGCATCGTCTGGTGCAGAGCCGAGCAGAAGAGACATGCCCGGGGCCTGTGGTACGCGCGCCTCCCCCTACCCCAGGCCACAAGGGCTTCAAGGTGCTGGTGCTGAACGAGGTGGACCGCCTCAGCCGCGAGGCCCAGCAGTCTTTGCGCCGCACAATGGAGAAGTACAGCGCGGGCTGCCGCCTCGTCATGACATGCGCAAACATTAGCAAGGCGAGGGGTCTTGTTGAAGGGGGGGCCTCGGGCCTCAGGGGGTGGCGCGGCGAAGCGCATCATTTCGGGCAGCAAAGCGGCCGGGCCCGGTCATGGCGGGCGGCCGATGCGGCTGGGCCTTCATCTGTGTGCGGCTGCGGTGAGGGCATCGGCGCCGATCAGGGGCTTCAGCGCGGCGAATGACGGGATGATGGTGGCGCAGAGGCGGCCGTCAGCTCGGCCGTTGGTCGAATGGCGCTTCCAGGAATGTCAATGGGCTAATGCTGACCCCCATGTGACGTCACCCCACCACCCTCGACCACTCGCGGCGTACAGGTGATGGACCCTGTTCGCAGCCGCTGCCTGTGCGTGCGCGTGGCGGCGCCCTCCAACGACGTCGTGCAGGAGCAGCTGTTTGCAGTGGCCAAGAAAGAGGGGCTGCAGCTGCCCGCGCCGCTGGCCGCGCGCATTGCGGCGAGCAGCCTGCGGGACCTGCGACGAGCGCTGCTCACACTCGAGGTGCGGCCGCTTTATAGATTGCTGCGCAATCTATGAAGCCTGACGTAGCTCCCACAAGAGTGCATGCTGGGTGTGGCTCTGCGCCTGCAGTATTGGCAGCCCAGGCTTGCTGAAGCCATCTGACTGTCCAAAACCATTTGAGTACCCCCACATTCCACGCGTGTGTAGGTGTGCCGCGTACAGCAGTACCCCTTCCGCGAGGACCAGGCAGTGGCGCCGGCAGACTGGGAGGCGTACGTCGCGGTGAGCAGCCACATGCTCAAGCGGTGCGGCTCGCGGCCAGCTGGGCGCGCCTGATACCACATGCCAGCACACGATTACCGCACAGCAAGGCTGTCTCTGCTCACGCTGCTGCGGGCCCCTCGATGCCATGCCTGAGCACATGCCTTACTGCTCCCGTCCCCGCAGGAGGTGGCGGGCGACATCCTGCAGGAGCAGAGCGCCAAGAGGCTCTACCAGGCGCGCTGCAGCCTGCTGGGCCATCAAGTGCCGCTGCTGACCCACCATCGGCCGCTGACAAGCTGCCCATCAACGTGTGGCCATGGCCCCGTTTCCTGGCTTTGGTCCATTCTGCAAAGCTTCAACTATCCCCTGTGCCCCCCATCTCAAATCCATCGCCCTTTCCTCCCCCTTTCCTGGACCGCGCTCGTCTCTCATGTCAGGTTCGTGGCAAGCTGTACGAGCTGCTGGCCAACTGCATCCCCCCAGAGCTGCTGCTGCGAGCGCTGCTGCTGGAGCTGCTCAAGAAGCTGGACGACGAGATCAAGGTCGGGCGGCATTTTGAAATGACAGCCCAGATCGCGCTTTGCTTGGACGCGCTGTGCGGGCCCCATGCACGCTGGGAAGGGGGGGGCTCGTCGCCACCTTTGACGCAGGCAGCAGCATGATGCGTGGCGGTCGCGTCTCTCCTGTTCACCGCTTCTCCCCCCTCTTCAACCCCTACTTCCAAAACCCCGCTGCAGCCTGACGTGGCGGCGCTGGCAGCTCAGTACGAGCACCGGCTGCAGGAGGGCCAGAAGGCCATCTTCCACCTGGAGGCCTTCGTGGCGCAGTTCATGTCGCGGTACAAAAACTGGCAGCTGACAGCCTTCGGCTGAGGCCATCGACTTTTGTCCTGCCCGGGCCTCGCCAGTGGAGCGGCGCGGCGGCTGACATGCGGAAGGCCTTGGTTTGTACATGTCTTTGGCGGTTTGTGTCAGGCGCTGGTAGTAACCGGCTTATGCGTAGGATGGCTACCCTGCAGCATGGTCTAAATTCACTCACTTCCCTGTTTCATGTGTTGTACTGGTACAGTACAACGATGAATACGGAGTCAGCAAAGTGCTGCGGCACAAGCCACGTAGCTCAACATGCTTTGACGCAGCAGGGGCACAAATACTGGCCAAAGGTGGCACAGGTGGGAGGCGGGGGGCACGCTGAGCGCGCTGCCACTTGAATACGACCGGCAGCAGTAGCACTTGCCCGATTCCCGCCGCCGCGCAGCGAGCTGGTCCGCGTGTGAGGTGCCCTTCTGATGATGCAGACCTCGCTAATAACAGTCGACGATATTAAACAAAACGCACGCTTGCTACGTCGTATGGCATGGCGCGCAGATCCATTGTCAGATCATCAAACCGTTGATCCCGCCGTGCACTACCGAGTATAGGCTGCGAGCGGCATGGAGACCACGTGAAGCTTAATTTACGTGCACCCAAACGGTTGCGTCCCTCGGCTGAACGTCCGCCCGTTCTATTGGCGGCGCCGGTCGCAATGAGGCAGAGTGCCAGCGCGTTGTGCCTGCTGGACTTGCCCGACGGCGTCCTGTGCAAGGTGCTGCTATGCCTCGACGACCCATCGGCACTAGCTGGGACGTGCCGGTGAGCTCCTCTATTTAGGAGCAATGCAGCATCCTGCCCCTGCTGCCGCCGCTGCAGCTTGCCTCGCTGCCATATTGTTGGGTCGAACCAACCCCATCATTCCCCGCAGGCTTGTGTGGCAGCTGAGCAGGCACTGCCTGACAGACTGGCTGCTGCGGCACCACGGCCGCGCCGCCCCGCTCCGCGAATGGCAGCACGCCGCCATCATGTGGCACGCACTCCGCGGCCTGTCGACGCGGCAGCTCGCTGAGTGGCTGCTCGCCTGCTCGCGCCGCGCGCGCGAGCTCGCGCGCGACCCCGCGGCGACAGCGCCGCGGCAGCGCCATTGCGCGCGGCTTTTCACACGCCGCGGCGACGAGGAACAGCGCGCGGCCGAGGCAGAGGCGGCGCGCCTGCTGCGCGGCGGCGACGCGGCGGGGGCGCTCGCCGCGGTCAGCGCGCCCGGCGGCGCCCTGCTGCTAACCATCCTCTACGCCGCTCAGGCCGGCCGCGCTGATCTGGCGCTCGACCTTTCCGAGCGCGCCGGCGTTCCATTGCCCTCAATGTTCTCCCCGGCGGTCGCGCTGCGCGGCGGCCACATCGAACTCGCCATGCGCCTCGCCCGCGCGCCCGGCGCGGCCGTCGTATCGCCGGGCGGGCGCGGGCTCTTTGTGCTGTTCGCGGCCGCGCGCTGCGGCGGGGTGCCGCCCAGCGCGCTGGCTGCCGCCGCGGCGCTCGCGCCGGAAATGGGAGATGCGGAGGCGTTCCCTCTGCTGGCGCGCGCGTGCCTGACTCGCAGCCCGGCGAGTTTTGGTGGCGACGGCGACGGCGACGGCGGCGGCGAGCGCGCGCGCGAGGGCGGGGGCGGCTGCCGCAGCGCGCTGGAGGCCGTTGTGGACGTCATTGCCCAGCGGCAGGGCGGCGGGCTGACAGATGAACACTGCGAAGAGCTCGTGGCCGCGGCGATTGATGTGACAATCGACGGCACGCTCGGCGCCCTGGCCGAGCCGCGCTCGGCGCAGCTGCTCGCGTCGGTCGCCGTGCGCACGGACATGGAGCTGGGCCTCACGACCATGGCCGTCAACGCGGCGCTCGCCGAGGGGCGCGCCGCGCCGCTCAGGGTGGCGCTGTGTGCTCTGCGCTCCAACCTGCCGCACGACGCGGCGCTGCCCGTGCTGGCGCACGCCGCGCGGCTGTGCTCCGAGGTGTGCAGCGAAACCATCAGCCCCCTGCTGCCCGCTGAATTGCTGGGGCTTGTGGTGGGCGAGGCACGGCAGGCGGGCTGCGGGGACTATGTTGAGGCGCTGCTGCTGCGCGGCATGCCGTGGGCCAAGGGTGGCAGCGGCAGCGGCGGCGGAACCGGAAGCGCCAGCGATGGTGAGGGCGGGGCCGGGGCTGGGGACGAAGAAGAGGGTGGCGATGGCAGTGGTGAAGCGGAGGGCCGTGCGGCCGGCGGAGGGGAGGGCGGCGGCGCGGGCGGCGGCGGTGAGTACGGCGGCGCAGACGTCGCCGCGGCGGCTGCGGCGGCAAGCCGCGACGACGGCGACCTTGACGCCCCACTGGCAGCAGCCTCGCTCGGGGGGCGCCTGTGGTGGCGGGCGCACGCCGAGGGCGTGGCGCCCGCGGCGGCCGCGGGCCGCGCGTCAGAGCAGGCAGCGGCCGCCCCGAGCCTGGGCGAGCGCCCGTGGGCGCTGGATGCGCGCGCTCCCGCGTTGTTGCGCCGCTATGCTGCCTTTGCGGCAATGCACATGCACGGCGCGACAGCCGCGTGCGCCATCGCGTCTTTGGCGGGGCCGCTGGCGCGCCCCTGCTCGATCGAAGAAAGGAATGTTCGGCTGCAGCTCGGCGTGCTGTCGGCAATCGAGAGCGGCGCGGGTAGCCCCGAGATTGCGGCGGCGATGCGGCGGCAGTGGCTGCAGCGGCAAAGGGAACTGGCCGCGATACGGGCGGAAATGAGTTGCGGAACGTCTGCAGCAGCGCGCCGCGAGGCTGAGCGCGCCCTGCACCAGAAGCAGGTACTTATGTATGTGGAGGTGATGGGCGCCATTGCGGCTGCGGCCCGCAGCGGCTCGGCCGCCGCGCTGGAAGCTGTGCTCGGCAGCGACATGGCCGGCGCCGCGCGCGACAAAAGGCGCACCTACGGCGGCGGCGCCCCGCTGCTGGGGCCGGACCACGCGGCGCTCGTAGCCGCGGTCGTGCGCGGTGACGCGGCGCTCGTGCGGCTCCTCGCGCGGCGGCGCGCCACGGCGCACGGCGGCGGCCCGCGGCCCAGGACGCTTGCGGCGATGCGCGGGTGGGCCCTGGGCTTCATGCCGCTCGGTGGCGGCCTGCCCGGGGGGGCCCACCAGGACAACGGCTTGAGCATCGTGCTCGCCGCGCTGCGCCGCGCCTGCTGTGGCGG